GTGAGCAAGAAATGTCCCTTCATCTGCGAAAAAAAACAGCACATGTAGTCCACATTTACTTCTTTTTAGTAGTTATCATGGTTGGCAAATATCTTCCTTTCCCCAGAATATTCCCATTCAAAACACAATAAACCTAGAAAGCTTGGCTTTCATTTCATTCATCTTAATATTTTGAAGAAAACAAATTAAAATAATCTCTATATATTTAACAGAGCAGTGTAATAAATTATACAAATGTTTCCTCTTAAACACTGAATTATTAACTGAAGTTAATATTCTCTGGTTACAGTAACAGCAATACATGACTATTGTGTCTGCAGCTTTAGGGCTTAGAAAGAGTTCGAAGAAACCATGACATTGCTGAGAGAGCAGTTTTAGTGCAAACCTAATGAAGACATAAAACTCGATCGTGCAAACTGTCTTTTGTAGGTACAACCATGGTTGGCATGATCTGTTTTGTCTCTTTCCTCTACTCCTACTTCCATGAGACAGTCAAAAATCTATTGTTACCACTGTTTTAAAGCTCTTAGAAGCTTTTCAAAATATTTGTTTTCCACAGCATTTAACAAAAGACTTCCTGGAAGTCCTATAGAATTTATTAATAATTTTAAAATATACACTAATAAAGACACACTAAATCATTCGTGCATATTTCAAATGGGTTAAGATTAAATTACATTTTGTATAGGAATTCACAAAAATAACTAGCAGGCAGAACTGAAATGTGCTCAGGATTGTTAACAGAAGTCAGGAAATAAAAAGCATTTTCTATATAATTCACTTGCCATGTTGACATGAACTGTAAATTCTTTCAAAGAAGAAAAGAAAACATTTCCCAGTAGTAATCCTGAGATTTAGTACCAGATTTTATGGCCCGTATTCAAAGCCTAAACATCAGCCATGATACCACAAATTTGTAACATTGAATCTTGCTGACCCAGATAAAAATTCTGATACACTGTTAAATATGAAGAAGTATTTAATAGGACTTTACTCTACTTGTGTCTGTCTGCCACAGGGTTGCCTGTGTGACTCAATAGATCGCAGTAACGTGAATGGAGATATTTGCTTGATTTTTTAAAGTATTTCTCGCATAACATATGCCTAATTTGTATCATCTATCTATATATCTTGCATATTAATACATAAGACTATTGGGATTTATAGATGCTAATGATATAAATAACAGATATCTCTGCAAGCATCAGGGAAAGACTGCGGAACAGCCATAAGCTTAACTCTGATATGAACTTTATCATCTTTCTAAAAAGCCACTGTGTCAATAGCTAATAAAACAGGTGACTGTCAAATGTGTGTTGAAAGGGCTGCTATAAGATGATGATGAAGGTTGGTGCAGTGTCACAGTCATTAAGTGTAATAAGCAATCAGGAAATTTATATAAACAGGTTATCATGTGTTTAAAACACATGGAGACTATCCCTCCCAAAAGTCTAATGAAAATGCCATTTAAATGGGATCCTTGTAAGCATTACGTTTGGGTATCAGTCCTCTGGGTGCGGTTATCCAGCCTCTTGTGACTATTTTGACATGCGCTATGTCTAATTAAATGTTAAATACAGCATGTAGGTGCTATTATATTAACTGATGTGGTAAACAGTGATTTAGTATGAAATAGTCTATGTGTTGTTGAAATCTTTGTCTGACTCATGGTTAAGAAGAAAAAACTTTGTTTTTAATTAGATGCTCTATTTCAAACCATGAAATCCTTAGCTCAGCTGGGATTGGAAAATCTGGAGTTGCACTCTGCAGTGAAATAAAACCAGACTAAAACCTCTTCTTTCCTCTTTTTCTGATTAGAAGGGAGCCAGAAACTCAAGTGCAACAAGTTGTAACATGGCTGAGATCTGTCACTTTGCATCAGCTTTCTGATTCAACAGTTAAAGGATGATCCTAAAAGTCTAATCACAACCTTTGGAACTAGATTTAAGGTGAAGGAGAAACACTGGCATCTTATAAGATTCCAAGTCCAGATGGAGGCAGAAGCAGAAAATAATTTCCATGGAAAATGAGTTCCAGTACAGATTGAAAGTAAACATGATAACTTGCATCAGACATTGATACTTTTCTCCATAAAAAAGAAAAAGAAATATATAAAACCATAAAGATAAGAATTTATCACATATAAACAGGGAATTCTTGTAAATATTATCTGCAAGCTTCTAACTGGATAGAGTTATGAAAAATTAATTGTATCCTCAGCACAGTCAATTGCACCTGAACATATTTTAATCTGATGGAAAAATTTTAGTACGTCTCCTATTTTCTAGCATAATCCCTTCCTCCTATTAGCCTACATAGTCCTCATCTTTGTAGTGCCTGAGCTTCTACCTTGAGATTCTTATTCCACACATATTATCTAATAAGACTTCAGGCCAATAATTAACCCCCTGGGTGCTACTTAGCTATTTAACCCTATCCCATATAAAGTCTAGCGAACTCTGGTCCTCAAAGCCTTGGGCAAACTTCTGAGCAATGTTGTCCTAAAAGACTTAAAGCATGGAGAATTTAATTAATATGATAAAAACTTCTCTGCAACTTGAGAAACGGGCTTGGTAGTCCTAGGACTGGCAATCCATTTTGTCAACTGGTGAAGGTTCGGTCCTCCAAACCCCTTTCTAATGCCATGCTTTAGGAGTGTTGTCTTCCTGTCTTTCTGCCTCCTAAATGCTCCTCCATGGCCATTGCTCCACAGCCTCAGAGGATGAGCATGAGCAGACAACGCGCGCCCTTCCCGCCACCTCCCACGCCACACACCTTGATGGAGGGCTGGCGCGCAGACATCCTCCTCTGCGGTCCGCCGGGAGGAAGAGCTGCAGGCGGCAGCGCGCGCCGGGGCCAGATGAGACGGAGGAGGCGAGCGGCTCCGCCAATGGGAGCCGAGGCGGCGCCCGGGCGCAGCCAATGGCCCACGCAGGCCTGGCCTGGAAACGGGGCCGCGGGCCGGGCTCGGCATGGGCGAGGACACGGCGCTCCTCGCCCGACGTGACTCATGCCCCCTCTGACCCCCAGCCCCTCTGGCCATTGCAAAGGCTCCTCAAGTGGGACTGCCTGGGCTAATGTGCCAATCCCAGGCAACATGGTTATGTGATAAATAAAACCCAACTTACTAACATTTTGTGAGCACATCAAGTATTCCATATGGGTCTATTCTACTTGACATCAAAGCAATCTGTTGTTTGCCTTCTCACTTTTGTAGCGCTCATCATAGAGAGGCTGCTTTATCTCCTGTATCTTGTGTCAAGCACATGAAGTTGCTGCACCTGCTCTGCATTTTTTTCCTTCAGAAGCATTTTCATAAATTTTCTGTTGAACACTGGGAAAAGAGCAGAAACAGGACAACATATGGCTGACATTTCTATTTAACCAGAATAGCAAGAAATGTATGAACACAAGACCATTACAAAAAACTTCTTCAGCTCCTTGATGTTAGCACAGTTAAAGTGTGCTCAATATTCAAAATGATGATGGCATTTTAGGAATATTATTTAATTTTTGTCATTTACTTTAATGCATTTAACTAATTGAATTCCCTTTCAATTAATCACCTTCAATCATTGAGAGGTATTTAATTGACATCATTTAATTATGAAAGACACTACTATTTGTTCCTATCCACTGAGAAAGAGATCATAATCTCCCTTTCCTCATGGTACCACCAAAATTAGCATTGATACCAATGTCATGAATAATACCGGCAACGTAGTCAAATAAATCCTATAAAAATGGAATATTAGCTGATTAGGAGCAAAGAGATAGGATCTTACACTGCACATATACAAGACCTTTCTTGCATAAGGAGCAGTACCTCTGTGAAGGCTAAATGCCAGCAGAAAGACTGCGATGTCTTCACTACCAGCCAAAAGACACTGTCTGGTAACCGGTGTGATCAGAGCTTCGGTCCAGTATGCTCCGAGCAGCACCAAGTACTGTGTGAGCACTTGGCAGATATAAAATGACAGACAATGAATTGCTACAATCTTGGTAACATTATAAAGAAGCACAGGTAGGACAAACAATGTTTATGTTGGCTGTAACACTGATAAAATACTATGCTGAATAAGCGTGTGAAGACTCAGATCTGTAGCTTACAACATGGGAGTTGTAAACCTGGTCTCTCAGCTCATACACAACATATCGTTGTGGTTTATTTCAAATGAAAAGCATTTCCACTATAACAAACAGGAGACACTGATATAGTAATGATACATGTGTATTCCGGGGTTGTCAATTAAAAAGTATTTCAGGTTTTCACCTGACCACTTTGAGATCATAAATTAAATACTGAGATAATAAATTAAAATACATACTGAGATAATAAATTAAATAACTAATGGTGACTTCCTGACTCTATCGAAACTGATTACAAAGTTTACTACGTACTGAAACCACTGTGCAACCATGCTATATGCATATGGACTTCCCTGGCACTTGGTAAGCCTCCAATGCATACTTGTCTGTGCTTTCTTAGGCATGTTTTTGTTTGAAATTTCTTATAATGTGGCAGCAGAACACTCTGGGCCTGTGCCTCTAAAGGTGTGTCATTTGATTTTAGGAACAAGCCAGGGAACATGGGAAAGGGCCAGAGTCCAGGAATCCGGGAGGAACACGATTCGTGCTGGGTGGAGGATTGAAACTTTAAAAGTTGGGTGGAAGTTGGGTAGGGGAAGCCATCTACTCCCATAAGTAAAAGAGCATCTTCTTGAAGAAGGGACTGCAAAGTTTTCTAGAGATACTGTTTCTGCCAAAAGCTGTGCGTACCAAATCAGACCCTGCAGCCCATGGCACAACCCTTTGTTTCCCCTGTCTTCACTGAGCACAGGATCTGTAAATGTCCCCTTCAGGGTAAATACAAGGCAATTGGCAATGCTAGGAAACATAAAAAAAACTTCAATTGTCAAGATACATAAAAAACAAGTTAAACAGTGGCAAGATTATTTTCACCGGTGTTTGGTAACCTTATCA